TACTTCTACAAGAGTTTTGACAGCAGTTCTTGTTTCTGTTGGAGTTACCTCTCTATTATTATGTGCCATTGGGCTCTTCTGGAGCTGCCGGAATTCCGGAAGACAAAAAAAAATATCGAAAAGGACCATATCTGTATTCAGCACTGAGGCAGGAATCACTGGTAAATCAAAGTATGTGAGTTCCCAAAGCTCTGTGAAAAAGGTAAGTTCTGATCCAGGCCCTGACCTTTTTTACCTTAATTCCTTAGAAACTGCGTTAGAACCGGATAAATATTGCTCGAAACTGAATTCCGACACTCAAAACACATACTCGAATCAAAGCACGATAAATTGTACAATGCAAGAGAGTGAAGAACCAGTTAACGAACTCGTAAAATCAGAATGTGAGGATGATATTGGAGAAATAATCCCTGCTTGTGAAATTTCTGAATATAAGTATGAATTCGATGGCCATTACTCTTCTTCGTGCGGTGAAAAAGTAATTCCTGAAGAAGGTCATTCTATCGACGATAAATTTATTCCCGAGGACGCTAATTCCTCTGATGATGAATCTTTTCATTCTGTCTGTGATTCACATTCATCCCATGCTAGACTTTCGAATGCCTCGGGAAGTAGTCTTAGTGACAACTCAGAAATTTTCTCCCAGAATGAATCAAAGTTATCACATTGTTCTGTAGACACAACAACAGAGAAACCAATTCAAATTTCACATCCCAAATCAGAACCTCCCTTGTCCCCGAGCCAGTCATCGTTTTCTCCACCGCCACCCTCTCCTCCACCGGTCGAATATATTTGTCCTTCTAAGTCTATCCCTTCTTCAACAAAGACGGTACCTAACCTTTTGTGCTCATATTCATCAGAATCAAACAAAACCCCACATATTGGATTATCATTACCCCATCCTCCACCGGTTCCTCCCATAGCTCCGGCAGGAATTCCTCCACCACCGTGCCCTCCTCCTTTTCCAAAAGGAAATGCCAACCCTCTTAAAATCCCACCTCCTCCCCCATCTCATCTCACTCAGTATACGCCAATGGGCAAAGACGGAGCCCCATTGCCAAAGCTTAAACCGCTTCATTGGGACAAAGTTAGAGCTGCAACAGATCGTTCGACAGTGTGGGACAAGCTGCGATCAAGCTCATTCGAGTAAGCCTTTTTATTCTCTACATTTTGAAAATGATTTTTTCCTTTGTACAACATGTTTATGATTACAAGATTTTGCACAGGTTTGATGAGGTAATGATTGAATCACTTTTCGGTTACAACCTGCAAAATACGATGAAGAATGATGATGTTAAAAGTAAAACCCCATCTCCAAGCAAGCATGTCCTGGAGCCTAAGAGACTACAAAATATAACTATACTTTCGAAAGCCTTGAATGTTTCCACAGAACAAGTATGTTCAGCACTAATTCAAGGTAAGTAACGTCAATTATTTTCTGACAATCAAATAATAGAGCTATGTAGTAAGAACTAAGAAGCTTTGATTATAATTTTTACAACTTTTTCAAAACAGGGGATGGATTGTCATTGCAAGATTTAGAGGCACTTACAAAGATGGTGCCTACTGATGAAGAGGAGGCTAAGCTTGCAAACTACAAAGGAGACATTGCTGAATTGGGATCAGCAGAGAAGTTAGTCAAAGCAATGCTTAAGGTGCCATTCGCGTTTTTAAGAATTGAAGCGATGCTTTATCGGGAAACTTTTGAAGACGAGGTTCTTCATCTCAGAAAATCCTTCTCAATGCTTGAGGTAACAGTTCAATCATACAATTTTCCACAATTAAAAAGTATAATATTCTAAAAATTACCACGTCTGAAATTTTTTTAGGAGGCTTGCAAGGAGCTCAAATCAAGTCGACTCTTCTTAAAACTACTCGAGGCAGTGCTTAAAACAGGAAACAGGATGAATGTTGGAACAATACGAGGAGGAGCAACAGCTTTCAAGCTTGACGCACTTCTTAAACTTGCTGATGTGAAGGGAACAGATGGAAAAACAACACTTCTTCATTTCGTCGTTCAAGAAATTATCCGATCAGAAGGATTACGAGTATCAGAGAGCATCATAGGCAAGATCAACCAAAGGAGCAAGAACTCAAAAATCGACGATAAGGAGGAAAGTTACAGGAGAATGGGTTTAGATCTTGTATCTGGTTTAAGTACTGAACTTTGCAATGTTAAGAAGATGGCTACAATAGACTTGGATGTTCTTGCAAGTTCTGTGTCAAATTTATCAGATGGAATGAGTAAAGTGCAACATCTAGTACACAATATCCTCGAAATGGAGGGTGAAAATGGGAACTTTGTGAACTCAATGAGATCATTCCTCGAAAATGCTGAGATGAAGTTAAAGGAATTGCAAGAAGATGAGAATGGAGTCCTATTACACGTACGACAAATGACCGAATATTTTCATGGAGACGTGAGCAAAGATGAATCGAATCCACTTCGAATTTTTGTAATTGTAAGAGATTTTTTAAACATGTTAGATAATGTGTGTAAAGAGCTTAAAAGCTCGAAACCACCACGCAGTCCTAATCCTCTTGCCCCATTCCGATAGATTAGATGGCTTTGTTTGTCTCTAGTTTCTCAACTCTTAGTAGAAATTTGTGTAACATTTTCCAAATTCTAATGAAATTTCAATTCTGAATGTCAATATGATTATGTTTTGCAGACATCTTATTTTAACATCGGATCTTCGATAGACCCCTAGTTAAATTCACATATGTGAGAAGAAAGAAATGGGAAAATGTGGTTAGTTAGTTAGTTAGTTAAGACGGGTAAATTAGGGAATTGAGTGCGGAGGGATATGTCTATAAATGTAACGGGAGGGTAGGCTATTTCATTATTCACGTTTCTATTGAGTCTTGTGGGGAGAGACCAGGCCTATCGAATGCCTTGGATCTCTTCCTCATCTCATTTCCAGTATTTCATTCAAAGAAATAACAGTTTATTCCATTGTTGAGCTCTTCTTACTGCATAGGATCCTATCAATCTTTTTCTTTATTACTTCTCCTACATGACGCACTTCTTTCTCCCACTTCATTAACAAAAACCACTAGTTATAAGTCCTAGGTATATTTAATTAGGTAAAATTCAACTATAAAATTAATAAATATTCTAAGTATCTTATGTTAGATAATGATGGGCATATTGAACGAGAAGAACAAGAGAGTGGAATTTATATGGAGGTCGGTAGTTCGAATCACATTCCACGAACCACAATTTTTTTTTTTTTTTTTGCCCTTTTTAATTCAAACTTATTAATAGTGGAAGTTATTATTTCTTTCAACTATATAAATCCCTTCCTTTTCTTGGAAAAACCATAATGAAATTGTTGTTCTGTAATTTCTATAAAATTGGTTTTAACATTCTTCTAGTATTTTGAGATATTATTATGAAGTATTATTAAGAGTTCTAAAAATTATTTGTGATTGCTGCATAGGTGATCCGAACGTTGTATCCTGAGAGTGATTGTCCAAAGAAATCGCAGCAGTTTAATTTCACTTTAGGACATCATGTTGTCATGAGTCTTAATCGATAAATTTTTTTTCTACATTTTATTATTCTACGATAGTTCTTGCAACTAATTTTTCTCCTATATTTAGACGACGATAAAATAAATTAAAATTTGAGTCACGAGTTTGATCATATGCACATGAACCGGAAAGCTATTTTGTTGTATTTGGATATAATTACCTGTCTTTACACACTGGATGTTTTCTGCTGTATATCCTTGCAGTTGTCAATGCTCCAGCGAGCATAAAAATCTTATTATTAGATCCAAGTAGACATAAAAGGATTTAGTTGTTGGGTGACTGGTCGAGAAGATTGTCATATTCGAAACTCCGCGTGAAGCTGAAGAAAGAATAATAAGGTACAAAGACATGATAAATTTCTTGAATCATGCTGCAGAATTCTGCTCCAGGGCCGAGGTGATTGATCATTTTCATGTGGGGGCCCCCACATACACATCCAGGGGCCGAGATTTGGCCACCTCGACCTTGGATTGGAGCCCGGTTTTTTTTTTCCGGGCTCTGCAGCTTTATTCAAATTTCTTAGCTGGAGGAGGCATTGGTGGGGACTAGAAATGCCATAAATGATGCTTTGGAGTTTTTACTGATGGAAGTTGTGATTTAATATCACTTTTCATTCAAATAAACAAATTTTCATAAATCTCACAACATATATTTCATACAATAGAGCTATTTTCTCTCAATAACTCTCTTATACAAACCTTACAATTTTCTCTTCTACCCAATAGTTATAATACATAACAATACATCTATTTATAGGAAAAAAACTAAGAGTTCAAGTTGATCAAGTAAGTTTCCTTAACCTCTTTTAGTAGAAGAAGTCAATTGAGGCAATAACCTTATCCCATATCCTTTTATAGAAGGAGAGTTCAAGATGCTCAAATAACTTCCACCTCCTTTTAGAAGAAGAGTTCAAAATGATTACGTAACTTCTTTAAAAACTCTCGGCCAATGACGAGCTTTTCCTTCACCGTCACAAATTCTTCTATCCAATAAAAACTTTTGCTTAATCAAGTTATATTTTGACTAACTCATCATTTTGATATCTTTGAACTTCCTTTTATTTCTAGAGCTCACTTGGTCAAGTTTACATTACTTTAAACATTCTCTTGGTCTCAGAAAGTTGCAAATGGAAGTCATTGGATCCTATCCCTAACCAATTGTACAAGAACGTGTTTGTTTTGTTTGGTACGATGTACTCGACTGGACATCATTGTAAATTTTCATTAATTATGTGTATTGTTCTTTAATTCTATTCCTATATATGGTCTAGAGTATTAAAGAGTTTAAGCAATTTCGAATTATGAAATATAAAGGCCACTTTTCTTTGAAAATGAATTTTCATGTTCTCCTTGTGTGAATGCAATGAATTTCACTTAGTAGCAATGAATTGAATAGAGATGGATAAATAATTCATTCGTCACAGATATGCAAACACTAAAATAAAATACATCATCAAAACAATAAGCACCTTTTAGTTTCCCAAGTGAAGAAGAAAAATAAATACAATGTAGTATTCCCACAAAAGGAAACAAATATCTGAAAATAATAATAACTTTAAATTGAATATATGCTCAAATGCCACCATTATAGGTGTACGATCAAGCTTACCTCAAAAAATTGGTGTTCATTTAGAGTTGACCCTAATAAACCCGGGAATAGAACCCATGCAAAGGGTGTAGAAATGAGATTATTTATCCTGCTGAGTGGGAGATCGAATGTTACTCAGGTTAAGCCTTGCAGCTGCAGCCAAAGAGGCTGCTACGCCCCCCGGACGAGTGCACAGATTGGGATCGTTTCTCAGCTCGGCGCCTATCACCCCCTCAGCATCTCGACGCGTCACTGGTTTATCCGAGGGTAACTTTGAGCTTGCATCCTGTCAAATAGGAAAGCAACGAAATTAAAATCTTGCTCATTGTACTACGTATATATAAAAATGTTCCTATAGTAATAAGAAGCAAAATGAATTTAAAATACTCCGTATGAATTTCCCTCGGTTAGCTAAAACTTTTAGATAAGATAGTTCGATATAATATTTTAAGTCAGCACAAGTAAAAGCTCTAAGTTTAAGTGTTGCTGTCACCAATTTATGAAAACTTGTGCATGTGTTAAGCCTACAATGAAAAATGAATCTAAGAGTTGATGCCTCTCTAATAACTTAAAAACTTTTTGATGAAATAGGTCATCAACCTGTGCACGAGTGGATATATGAAACTACTAACAAGTATATAGCCTTCCAAAATTGAGACTCACTGTAAGAATGTCGCCCAATTTGGTTTTATCCTCGTCCCTTGTCATACGAGAATTACGAGTTGCTGCAGATTGTGCAGCAGCAGCTACACCTCCGGGCACGATATTGGTACGGCCAGTTGCCCTCACTTCGGCAGCTTGTATTGCGGCTGCATCACTATAGTCAACAGGCTTGTGTCCTGCTGTCAATGCAGTGGCTTCAAGTGCTTCACCAATTGTGATGTTGCCTCTTTGTTCATCCACAGTTTCTGGGGCAAGTAGAGCTGGTAGAATGTCTTGCCCAATAACCTTGCATTGGGGATAAAATTAAATATGTCAATTGCTAACAAACCCCATGAAAACAATGGAAGAAATATTTGTTGTAGTCAATCCATTAAAGTTTAGGAAAAAAATTAATTGTGTGGAAGAAAAAACCTGTCCACCAATTGATTCGGAGATTATCCGCTTGTCAGGCACATTAATCTCAGTGATTACTACACCTTTATCAGCAACTATATTGCAGCCCGTGTTGCTGCTGCCGGTGGACTGCATCACGGCTGCCGGACCTCCTTTCTGTACTTGACCTAACATACAATTTTCGGCTGATTGCATTGTTGCAGCAGCATTGCCTTGGTCATGAGGATTTTCCTGAGATTCAGGCTTCGTAGGTTGTTCTTGACTCATTTTGTTATTATGATTATCAGCAAAAGATAATTAAATATGTGAAAGAATAATCAAAATATGGTTTCTTGGTGTTTTGGGATTAATTATAAGATGGAAACATCTATTTATATGTTATTGGTATTAGCATGTGGTTTTGGACGAGGCAAAATGAGACATTTGAGGCAACAAAAGAGCCTGTCCTTAATTCACTTCACACATATTCGTGGCAAGAAAATTGCCACTTGTGTAGTTCAAATTTAACACCATTTGTGGCATGTATTAAATGAAATTGAAACCAAAGAAGTATGTGTGTCTTCCATACAAAAGAACAGAGTATTGAATTAAGCAGAAGTGTTTTCATTGTTCGTTATCTATGACTCAATACTGCGAGTTTATGGGTCACGAATAAGTAATAAGAAGATGAGAAGCGTCACCACAATTAGCTTATTTGCGTCCAAACGAATTAATACTTAATTGAATTGTTAAGAACATATGCACAATGATTTGGTCATTTTAACAACTATTTAGTTGAAAGGCAAAGAGTGAAGTAAAAACAATGAAAACTATTGCTAAATTAATTTTTGGAAACTTGAATTTGAGGAAGTACTAGGATTTTGACTTCATCGTCTAATTATCCAATTTCATTTCTATAATCAAGTTAAAGACTATATTTGCTTGTGTAGATGTACGAATTTCATATATCTCTATGAGAATTAACAAATACAAAAGAACACATTAATCACAACCAGGCATCATTTCTAATCACATAAATCATAAAAACTATTGAAATCTGTTGACGTCAAAATTAGTAAGGCTAATCTTAAGCCAACTTTAAGAAAAAATGTGATTTATTGTTGAAAAAGATCACAAAATATGTTTAGAAAGTGTAATTGTCATGAGTTATTATATGAATTCACTTACCCTTTACAAGAGTCATATTCAACTATTTATACATAATTTCAGCTGAAATCACATCAAATCAGCAACAGTACCAAACTCGAAACTCGGGTCGTCTAATTCTTCTATGATTGGTCGATGAGGCTGGTGGCCATGTGTCAATGTTTTCCCCAGGTAATGATGACCTGCAAGGGGCTTGAGGATTAGGACTTAGGATTGGTAGTTTTGGGCGGCGATGATGTCACCTGCGGCAAGTGTATTTGATTGATAGGGTGATGTGACAAGAGGTAATCATGATATTTTTCTGAGATAACGGCGGGATTGCCCGACTTGGGAGTAGGAACTGAACTCCCATTTGCCTGAGGTAGGGTTAGCGAATTGTTTTAACTTAGATCAGAGTTCGGTTGTCAACTGTTACCCCCAGGTCAATTCTGCCGCAAGGGGGGCTGAACTTAGTGATGCTTTCTCCAAGAAGTGCATTCATTGCTGCACCAAGTGTCATCTTTTGACGGGGTGAGCTGTACGATATTTGTAAGTAGCTTCTTCAGCAAGCTTGGTTAAAACTACGTCGTTTTGGTTTCTCAGGCTTCTGAGTCGTTGATTTTCCCCTCATTTCTGGATAGACGATTCAGATCGTGCCCTCTCAGTTTCATTTTCTTTAAATTCCTTTTGGCCAGTCAGTTCGCCTCCTATTTCACTGGTTTATTCTCTCTCAAATATTCGGGAAATCTCCTAGGTTCATTTTTCCATTTTCGAGTGAGGTCGTTTTCCCAGTTCATTTCCCATGTATTATTCTGTTCTTATTTTTCTTCCTCCTTTCAGTTTGTACTTTGTTTCCTAGTTTATACATGAGTTCGGACGAGTCTAGACTTCATTCCTGGGGAAACCAGCAGGAATAGACAGTCCCCCTTTCGACGAGTTCGTCCTCTAGTTGTAGGGAAGTTTTCACCCCTATTTCTATTTCCATAATTAACCCAATCAACTTAGGACGTCCTGTCATGGACTTTAGATGTGAGGGTTCCAAGGGAGAATGTAGATCCAATAAAGATGTTGAGGAGAGTAATTCTGGAGAGTGGGAGGCGAGTTCTTACAGGTCGATCATAACAGGGGATATGTTAGCCAGCTGGTGAGCTAAATACGCTATCCCTAATTCGGTAGTGATGATAATACCAGAACCATCTGACCGGGCTGACACTCCTCCTAAGAGATGCGTTGCTCTGAACTTAGCTATGCTTCAAGCTGGCCTTAGACTTCCCTTTCCTATGGCGATTCGTAAATTCCTTTCTTTCTGGGGCATAGCTCCCACGCAGCTATGCCCTAACGGGTGGCGAACCTTAATCGCCACCCTTATTCCGTGGGACCAAATGGGAAATCCCGAGCTTAGTGTCCAGCAGTTCGACTCTCTGTTTACTTTTAAGGAAGATGGAAAGAACTCAGGTTGGTGGTACACAAGCGTTAGGCCCAGGAAGGGAGGTTCTCTGGTGTTAGACACCCCTTCCTCAATTAAGAAATGGAAGGAAGAGTGGTTCTATGTATCGGGAGAGTGGCAGTTTTATTCTGCCGAGGTGAATAGAGAAAACGTGGTCCCCAGGCTCTATCATTCTTTATGTAAGTGTTTTTGGGCTTTAGTCTTTTAGCAAGACGTATGTTGACGAAGTACTAACCTAGGTATTTTTCCTTTGTGCAGATTACAAGAAGGAGACGTTAACCAAAGATACGTAGAGACGAGCTGAGGTAATAAGATCGTTACCCAAAAGGCAAAGTTCCTGTAAGTTTGTGATCTCAGATTCGAACTTATTCCGGGTCGGCTTGGTGTAAGTACGAGCTTCAAATTCGACTCCTTCCAATTTGGGTAATATTTTAACCCTCATTCGCGATTGTGGTATATATATTGAGCGTTTCACTATTATCTCAGCTCATCAAGATGAGATGCGGGGCTATAAGGCAGCAAAGGCAGCTGCTGCGGCCAAAGGAAAAAAGAGAGATGTCCCAGAACAGTCGGAGAGCTATTCTGAAGAGGTGGAGGAGGAGGTTCCACTGAAGAGGAACCGATCTGCGCCCTCGGTAGCACTGAGGATTCCTGAGGCTATGCCTTTACCGAGCCCGTCTCCTACTCTGTCGTCGCCTTCTTTGCTATCCCCAGTTGCACCCTCTGCTATCGGGACCAATTCTGTGAACTCGCAAAAGAGGTGCCCAGATTTACAGAGACCAAGCTTGGAGAGTTTGGTGCGACACCGATCAAAGATATTTCTTGATTATCTCCGAGCTCCTTCTCCTTCCAGGGAGGTGACTGCCGCTCTCACTTCACCATTGAGGGAGTCAGCTAATCTGCTTACCGGAGCTGGGGTGAGAGAGAGCAGGGCTATTTGAATGAGATGCCCATTGGTGAGGCCTTGGTCACTACTCAACTCCATGGTCACTGATCAATTTTATACATGATGGCAGTGGCGGACAAGGTATACTTCCTACTTTATGGTGTTTTTTTTTTTTTTTTAGCAACTATTTTATTGACTTACTTGATTTTTGAACAACAGGTGAAGTCTGAGCTGGACAAGCTTATAGAGGCAAAAGATCAGGCCTTTAGTCTTTATAACAGCATCGAGGCCCAGTTTGCTCTGAAGGAAAAGGAATATGAAGAGAAGCTGAATTAGATGGGGATCGAGCTGAACTCCGAGATCGACGTCGAGGAAAAACTGATGGGAGAGATCAAGGCCTTGAGGGCCTCAGAGGAAGAAGCCAGAGCTCAGGCTGATGAGGAGCGTGGCAAGGTTAGGGAGGCCATCCAGAAAGTGCAAGAGGCCAACGAAAGGGCAAGAGAGGCCACGAGAAGGGCTGAAGAGGCTGAGACCAAGGCTAATAGAGCGGTGGAGGCTTGGAAGGAGTCCCTCAAGTTTGACGTCGTAGCCCAGGATGTCTACGTGGTAGCACTGGAGGAGCTGGTGGGGCACATCAGGAAGGAGAGGCCTGACATTGACGTGGTCTTTCTGGATTAAGCGCTGGAGAGGTAGAAGGAGGAGCTGTGGAAATTGTCTAAGGTTGCTGGAGTCTGGATACTACCAGTTATCCAAGATGTTGAGGGTAGTACCCCAGCCCCCCAAGACCCCTAGGAGGTCTTTTTTTTTTTTTTTTTGGGTATTGAAAACATTGTTTGGTATTTAGTTTTGTAATATGTTTTGGCTTATTAGTGAACTTCGTTTTGATGTTTCATGCCATTTTGTTTGGAATGGATGACTGTTTATGCTCAATATGGTTTCTTTAATAGTGATCTCATTTATATGTGACAATACCTCACAAGCTTAGCTAAATTTGTATGAGTGTCATAGTAGCATGAAGAATTGCTTCGAATGAATTTGACCTAGTTGTGCAGCACTTGCTTTCCAAACGAGGCTTATGCATTGGGCATTTCTACAAAGTGTAGTACCGTACACAGCCTTAGCTCAGCCTGCGTATGGAGCAGGGCTTTGAGAATTCCTTAGTAGGAATTTCGTCTAAGTGTCGTAGTACATGCGACCTTAGATCGGCCTGCTTAATTTTGTAGAATTCCTTAGAAAGAATTTCGTAGAATAACCTTAGATCGGTTTGCGTTAGGGGTAGGGCTTTGTTGGATTCCTTAGAAGGAATTTCCATTAAGAGTCGCAGTACGTACGACCTTAGATCGGCCTGAGTATGGAGCAGGGCTTTGTAAAATTCCTTAGGAGGAATTTTCACTAAGGGTCGCAGCACGTACGATCTTAGATCGGCCTGCGTATGGAGCAGGGCTTTGTAAGATTCCTTAGGAGGAATTTTCACTAAAGGTCGCAGCATTTAAGACCTTAGATCGACCTACGTATGGAGTAGGGCTTTGTAAGATTCCTTAGGAGGAATTTTCACTAACGGTCATAGCACGTATGACCTTAAATCGGCCTGCGTATGGAGCAGGGATTTGTAAGATTCCTTAGGAGGAATTTCCACTAAGGGTCGCAGCATTTACGACCTTAGATCGGCCTGGGTATAGAGCAGGGCTTTGTAAGATTCCTTAGGAGGAATTTTCACTAAGGGTCGCAGCACAAACGACCTTAGATCAGCCTGCGTATGGAGCAGGGCTTCGACAAAATGCATAACAAAATGTTCAAAAATAGGAAGTC